ACAGAGAACAGCTCCATATGCCAGTTCTGGCACGTACCATAAATCCACTAACACCGTTCTTACTAATTGCTACAGAGGACTCAAGAATCATTCATGGTCTTTACGCAACTGAACAACTACATTATGTATTTATTTAGATTGATTTTGTAATCCTGTATAGCCAAAGCAAGTTTTAATTACAAGTTAGCATCCCCGATATGCCACAAAGCAGAGTAACTTATTCAAGGTCTAACTTGTGAATGGCTTTGTCCTGTTTATTTCACCTAAAAAAATAGCCCTCCACTTGCAAGGACACAACTGTCATTTTCATCCACGTGAGAAGCTGCGCCTTTTCGCTCGCACGAGTGGTATTTCAGATAAGAGACTGAGCAGAGCACTATTTCCTTCTTCAAACTAAGCTTTACACATCCGAATGTACATCCAACATGGGGAGGGGCTGACATCATCACGTGTTGATGAATCCAGTGCTGATCTACATCTTTCCAGTTTTAGTATCCAAACAGTTCTTCTCCAGCCATTACCCAAAATAATGTTGCGAGCATTACAGCATCTCCACCACATTCCCACTGCCTCTCCAGCCCCTAGGGCAACATGTCAAGACACAGAAACACCCGCTGCTGTCACCACACTTCTTTCTTTACGTGGACCCAGAAGCCCCCGAGAGGTTAACTGCTGCGGATGCAGACCAGAGCGTACCCTCTGCCACCAAACACAGCGGTCTGAGCCCTGACGGCTCTCACCTCGCAGAAGCTGACAGCCACAGGCAGGCCCCTACTCCAGAACTCCGCGTGTGCCTCCCTTAGCAGCCCCTCGGGCTCAAAGATTGCAGCGTTACTTTTTCTCTTTGCTAGTTCCAGGCCTTCCTCCACATCACGCTCCTAGCCAGGATGTCTGATGTTACAAGCCCTATATCCACCACAGCACAGCTACCTGCGCCCTTCTACGGATTACAGTCTCCAACATTTCACCACTGAATGCAAGCAAATGTCCAGCCTAGCAAAGAAAATAACAGAGCCACCCAGTTACGTACCGCAGACCTTTTTTGTTGGGAGCGAGGGACAGGAAATCAGATGAGTCAGCTTTAGCCCATCTTCGTCTAAAGCACACGCCTCTGCGGCTTGCAACAAGTCCTTCCTTTAGCAGAACTGTCTGTATTCCGAGGTGCAAGACTCTTGATTTGCAGACCCAAGGAGCACATTGTCAAAGTACAGGCCTACTACACATTTTAAACCTCCGAGGAATTCTAATGAGCATATATTCAAATCTAAGTAATCACCGAGCGTGGTAAGTACAGTACAAGACACTTGGGATACGCAGAGAAAGTCCCAAACACTTAATTAAAATGTGAGGCTATTAGCACACAGTTTTATTAAACTTGTGCTGCTAGAGACAAATAGTCTTCCAAGTTTTCTTTCATCTTTTTGGCAATCCTACTAAACTCATTTTTTGTACTAACTGGAAGCAGTAATTAGCCATAGTACTGTCTGGGCGGCTAAGCCACGCCAACCTTTCTCTAAAGTGACTAAAGAGAAGATTCCCTAGACTGATTTAGGGAAATGTATGTTTTACGAGTTTAAACCCTCAACATCCTCACCAGGACTCACAAATCCCTTAAGGGCTCATTTTTCAGGGGCAGAACTGGAGTATTTTAGGGTAAAGAAGAATCATTCGCTTTTATAAGTCTCAAACATATTTCAGTCAGAACTTCTAGGTCCCCAGAACTCTTTACTGCACCAAGAGACAGGGCTGGGGCAACCAGCCGGCACATGCGGGATGAGGCTGCGGTCTCAAATGTTAGTAAGGAGTAACACAGAGTTGGCATGAAGTAAGTCAGTGCTCCCCGAGTTGTAACTCCAACCCTGCGTACCCAGGGTCCCCAGTGCACAGCACAGACCTGTACGATCCTCCGCGGCTCATCGTTATTGTGCGCTCCCTTGCTGTCATTACTCCCTGTATGTGACTTGCTCATGCAATTACCCAAGGGCCAACAGTCTAGGAACTGTATTCTAGGGAATTTCTTTGATGACATACTATCAATGCAAGCTTCATCTTCAACACAGCAGCAGCAATGCCGAGGCATCCTGTGATAATGGCAGAGGCACAAGCCCATTATAATAATTCACTTACATCTCTATCAAACAAACCAAGTCACATATTTAGCTTTTTCCTCTATGGTTAGAAATGCTGGAGATCACTTTGGTAGGAACAGGCCCTATATTTGCAGTTACAAGAAAACCGTACAAGGTGTTTTGAGACTGAAATGGTCACTTCCAAGAGATAAGCACTTTTAAACCAAGCCTGAACATGCGCCCTAATTGCTCAGACCCTCTGCCAGTGCACTTCTAACACTTTTTTCTTCATACAGTGCCGAAGAACTTAACCCCTAGAGAGCAGACTAGTAGTTAAGACATTACGCAGTGATTCTACAGCAGAGAAAACAATTCATTAGGGATTCAGACAACTCTCACTCCTGACCATTTCATTTACCGTGAATGCAAACGCTTTGGAAGAGCCTTCTGCTTGCGCATAGCACTGGGGGCACTGGCAGGGAGAGGCAGCACCAAGCGGTGGTCTAGTTCTGGTGGCAGATGAAGAGATTTTTAATCTCAAAGGGCACCAACTGAAGTCGGGATGTTTACAAAGATTAGACAACTAATCACACTCTTCCCTCACATGTACTGAGCTGCAGACATCCTTGCGCAGATAAGGACGGAAGCGGGACTGGAAGCAGGCCTCACTGTAACACAGGAATTACATACTTACTTATTGCTGCACTTACTAGAAGCTTTCAAGAAAGAAAGTAGAACCTATTAGTGCGATTCAGTCCACAATCTGATTTTCTGCTGTTCTATTACATGTGAGTAGTTTGCTGGGTATAAACCACTCAGCAAAGCTGCTCAAATGCAGTTGTAGAAAGTGAAATTTTAAAGGAGTCTGGCCAAGCAATGTGCATTAAAAAAAAAAAAACAAACCAACAAAACATTAGAGTACTTTCCAGCGCTACTTGGAAATACAGCAATGGTTTGCTCCCCCACATCCATACTGACCAGTCAAACCATACAGGTTTGATGACATATCTCACCACAACAGGTTTATTCAGAGCAGAGACAGCTTTCACTGCCTGTTGCAGTAGCGCCGACAGGTTTTGATAAGGGCAGATTTCCACAGGTACCACAATATTAAAATATGACATTTTGCCTTAAAAAAATTCACCACTGAAGCAGCAGATAATGCAAACGAATAGGTGGAAAAGAGAAAAGGACAAGGTGACAAAAATAGGAACTTGAACTAAAGTAAACCCTTGTTACAAGACAACATCCAAAATCTGCCTTGGTGTTTTGAAGCAGGTGCGGCCAAGCCAGAAAAACATCCACAGCAAAACAGAGTGGTGCTTGGCTAGTCTGCTTTAATAACTAACCTTAATGAAACCAAAGAAGACATTCAGACAGGCTCCCTGCACGAATAAAACTTCTACAGAGTTCACTCCAGAACACAGGACCATTACACAGCTCTGACATCAGGAAACTCTCCTGTTATTTGGCAAGTTGTTTTTCCACAAAGAGGGGGCGGGGGGAAATTTAAAATTAAATTTTCACCAAGGAGGGAATAATCTCCCCCTTCTTCAGTAGAAGCTCTTGATGTAACTCAAGGAGGGGGCAAGGGTGGAAAGGGGCACTCATGCCTTTTACCAGAAAAACAAGAAACATTTTATTACATATTAACCAACAGTTTACTCTGACACTGAACCTGAGCCAGCAAAGGAGAGAAAGGGAGGTCCCGGCATTAGGATTTGTGACTATTTTGTAGCTAAGTCTGTCACTGAAAGCTGGAAGGCAAACTTAAGCAGCTCACTGACAGAAGTCCCAGTACAGGATGTGAAACATCTCACAGCCGAGCTCAGAAACTCAAACCAAATTGAAAAACAGAAACAAGACCCTGCTAGGTCAGGGCTCTACACTCAGCACGCCACGGCTAAAGACGCAATACAAGAGTCTTCTAAACACCTCGCAAGTCTTCCCTCCCACTACGAGATAAACCCTTGCAAAGAGTTTGTTTTGGCTGCAGAAGGCTCCCCTCCACAGCAGATAAACAACTATCTCGCGGGGCTGGGACCAACAGCTTGCTGCGGAAAACACAGCTGGCTGCGAGGTCCCGCAAGCAGAGCGCAGCCCCAAAAAAAGGGAAAGTTTCATACACCCGGCCCTACAAGATGACGCTTAACACCAGGCTTCTCCCACAGTTAATTTTAATTGGTTACTTGTGCCCTAACTAATCAGTATGTAACTGGCACTTTGAAAGCTTCCAAGCGCAGATCTTGAGTCACTGAAATAAAAAAGGTTGACAACTCTTGTCCCCATTTTACAGCGGCAGAAGCCAACTGAGAAGAGCCTTGAATTACTTCCCAAACTCATTGGTCAGACGTGAAATGAAGGAAAAAACCCCAAGACTGCCTGTGCCCACTGGGTGCACAATCCATTGGATCGCGTTCCGGGCACCTATTACACAGGTGGGAGCAGTAATTGCCATCCTAAAGAGCTCAAGAGCCACACACCCCTAGATGGGCCCACAAATAACGCAGAATGCAACGACACAAGGTGTATTTCTGCACTCGCAGCCACACCACCTCTCACCTTGCCTAGCCGACAGCACCACAGGTTTACCTCTTCAACGTGAAATCTTAAAGAGGAATTTCTTTAAGGAATGCTATTTTACTCTTGAAGCAATACTATTAAAAAGGTAACGCATGTTACGGGCTGTCTGTTCAGACAGAGGGACCTGCCTCGCTGGCCCTTGGGAGCCAGCTCCCTTCCCTGTTCCCAACCTCAACAAGAGCGCTGGCTGCAGTTCAATGGTAAAGACATTCCTGAATACCTTGGGTTTAGGAAGCGCTTCCACAGCAGAAAGCCATGTTGTTACTTAAAATGATACAGAACTTCAGCTGGAAAAAAAATGACAAAGTTTAACCCCTCAGTTCCCAGGTACTGGAAATATTTACTCACTTTTTCACATTTGCCTCCCCATTGGGAATTCTGCGTAGCTTCTTCTTCTTCAGTATTTTCACAGCTCTCCTACAGAGGGTTTCAGAGTCCAACATCTCCTTGACTTTGCCGTAAGACCCTTCTCCGAGTAAGTCTCCCATCAGGTATTTGCCGATGAGCTTGGCCCTTTTCCGCCGCGGCTGGTAGATGACCTCCGTAGAGTCAATGCGATGGATAAAAGTGTCCATCCCCACAGACATCAGCTCACTCTCTGCAAACATACCCAGCTGCTGTGGCTCCTGCATATCCATCCTGGATTAAGTTCCTTAACTTGTTTTCCTTAAGCGCTCAGGGTTTTAATCCTGTTTGTGAGTTTCCAACACTCCCTTTTACTCCTTCTTGAAAAAAAAAATCCAGAAGATTGTACAAACATGAATAAAAAAAAAAACCAAAACCAAAAAACCTATGAGCTGCTTCCAGCTCAATTGGATGCTAAAAGATCCAGGCCTGGCTCCAGTAACACAATGTCTTTTAAAAAGAATATATCTCTCTGACCAGATACACTCAGCTTGGGACTTGCTTTGCTTCCGACCTGGTCGCACTGCTAGGGTTCTTTCAAGTCAACTTGGCCTTTAACTCGGCCCAGTTTGATTCTTAAGTGCTAGGTCATCCTCTGGGACTTTAGGCTACCACACAAAAACAGACAACTGCCAAGTCTCTTTCGTGACTTTCCATTCCTAGTAGATCATAGTCACCAACTCCAAACTGGATGGCAGGCGAAGCGTTTCTGCCCTGCTGTCCTCACCGTCCAGGTACGACCACAGATGGGTTTGGTTTTTTCAGCCGTTTGGAAGCTGGAACCAAGTTTCCTTGAAGGAGTTTTCAGAAAGAATTCTAACGTCCTCGCTTTTCACGCCTACAAAAGTTTGAGGCCTTCGGTGCCTATCAAGATCTCCCAGGGGCATCCTTCGACCGCCTGGATTCCTCCTGGCACATGATGTGTCACCACCACTGGTCCAGGAGTCAGCCGGTGTCAGACAACGCAAAACCTATTACAGCTTTACCGACCCGCCTTAAAACGGGAACAACCAGGAGGAAGTAATTCTCTCTGCCCAGGACCCAAACCACCCCATTCCCTTTTCCAACAAGGGAAGGTCAATGAGGAGAGGCCAACCTGGCCCGGGCTCTCCCCTGCTCCTTCCCGCCCCCTCCGCCGGTGTCAGTCGGGGTGGGCAGGAAACAGGCGGCACGGCAGCCGCGCCCGGAGAGCAGGGAAGGGACGAAAAGGGGATAAAGACACTTTCAGTGCAACCAAACTAGCGGTGGAGCCGGGAGGGAAGGGACCCCCGGGGGGCGAGGCGACCCCCGGCTCCTCC